CCCTCTCTCCCTCTCTCCCTCTCCCTCTCTCCCTCTCTGTCTCTCCAGGGCTGGTTCCACACCCTGCAGCTCTCCTTAACAGGCATGCCCCCACAGCTCTGGCATCTCCATCTTGGAGTCTCCAACTCAGTCCAAGCTTCACCTGCACAGACAGCTTCATGCCACGGCCTCTCCAAGCCTTCACTGAGGATTGTCTTGCCAAACACCGGGCCCCAGGTGCTCCCCTTAACCACTGAGAAAGAGTCTATAACCCCTTTCCTGTGTCTTTCTTGATAAAGCCAGAACACATGGCTGAAGCTGCCAAGTTTTTCTGCTTGCTGGGGCTGGAACCTGCGCCCCTCCCTGACTCTCATTTGCATAAGCTTTCTATTGTTGTTGGTTTCCTTCACTGTTTAAGCTTTCCTTTGATTCCTTTTCACAAGTTGGAAGCACAGCTGGGTGGGGTCTCGCCCTGAGGTCACCACTCCCTTTGTTCCAGTTAGCATTAGGCTTTTCTTTAAACGTTTTATCTCCTTGAGCACAGGACTTGGCACCAACACTTCCAGGTGCTCTTTGTATTGTTTGTTTGTTTTTGTTTTTTGTTTGGTTGCTTTTTGACAGGGTCTCACTATGTAGCCCTGACTGTCCTGGAACTCACTATGCAGACCAGGCTGGCCTCAAACTTACAGAGGCCTGCCTCTGCCTCCTAAGTGCTGTAGTTAAAGGCACCATGCCTGGACTGTTTTGTTTTGTTTTCCTCTTTTTTTGAGACAGGGTCTCACTATTCCTGGTGCTCCTTTTTGCTCAAACATTTGGTATTTCTTTTTTGCCTTGATTGTTCTTTTTCATTGTAGATCTGCATAAGAGCGATCACTAATAACCACAAGACATAGTCAGTGCTAGGCTGTCTTGAAATCTCCTCTGCCAAAGCCATTAATCCAAAACTCTTCAATTTTGCTTCGTGCAGATTTTTAGGACAAGGGCAAAAAGCAACCACTTTCTTTTTCTTTTTCCTTTTTCTTTTTATGTGCATTGGTGTTTGTCTTCATGTATGTCTGTGTGAGGGTGTCAGCTCTTGGTTACAGACAGTTGTGAGCTGCCATGTGGGTGCTGGAAATTGAACCCAGGTCCTCTGGAAGAACAGCCTGTGCTCTTAACTGCTGAGCTATCTCTCCATCCCCACAACCATATTCTTTGCCAAAATATCACAAGAATAGTCTCTAGACCAGACAGGAATATTCTTCCCTTCTGAAATCTCTTGAGCTGGCCCTTCACATGCTGCTCTCAGCTACTACTAGGATGTCCTATTAAGCAGCACTTAAAGCAGCCAACCACTTTTCTAATCCAAAGTCCCAAAGTCTTCTGTATTCCTTCAAATAACTCCATGGTCAGGCCTGTCACAGCAATACCCCCACTTCTGGTACCATCTTCTGTTTGGGTTACTGTTCTCTTGCTGTGAAGAGACACCATGGTCAAGGCAACTCTTATAAGAAAGCACTTAATTGGGAGCTTGCTTACAGTTTCAGGTTAGACCACTGTAGTCGGAAGGTTTCTCTGGTCCTGCCCGGCCCCTTGGTCCTACAGCTGCTTATAAAATATAACTGCTCAGCCATTAGCTCAGGCTTATTACTGACTAGCTCTTACACTTAAATTAACATATAGTTCTTATCTGTGTTTAGCCACATGGCTTGGTACCTTTTCTCAGTCCTGCCTTGTCATCTTGCTTCCTCTGTGTCTGGCTGGCGACTCCTCACTCCACCCTCCCTCTTCCCAGAATTCTCCTAGTCTGCTTGCCCCACCTATACTTCCTGCCTGGCTACTGCCCAATCAGTGTTTTATTAAACCAGTGTTTCAGAGCATTATCCCACAGCAGTCCACTGTCATCATGGCAGGGAAACAGACAGGCATGGCACTGGACCAGTAGCTCAGAGCTTTACATCCTGATCCACTGGCAGTAGGCAGAGAGAGAGACACTGGGCCTGGCTTGAGCATCTGAGACCTCAAAACCCACACCCCCAGTGACATACTTCCTCCAACAAGGCCACGTCTACTGCCACAAGGTCATAGGTCCTAATCCTTTCAAACAGTTCAACTGGGGACTAAGTAAGCAAATAGATGAGCCTATGGAGCCAACATCATTCAAACCCCTGCACTGCCCAAATGTGAACTGAATAAGGATGACATCAATGAACATGTGAAACCGGATGGAGAAAAGACCATGATGTCTTAACCTTACACAAAGAACTATAAGCAACTCTGGAAGGCTGGGAATGGGAGAGGCGGCCTTACCCAGGGAAGAGCACACCAACTGGTTGTCCTTTGCTGAACAGTCATCCCTGAAAGTATATATTCAGGTAATATTATACAGACTGAAGAGGTTATATTTAGGAATATATATGTGTGTGTGTGTGTGTGTGTGTGTGTGTGTGTGTGGAGCATGTGTGAGGGAGGAAATAGAAGGGAGAAATGATGTAATCAGCTTATAATCTCAAAAATAAAAAAAGGAAAACAAAATAAGGACTTATAAAGTTATGCCATTAAATATGTATATCAGTCCTAGGAAATCTAAATTCGAGAGAAACAATAGAGAACCACACATACATATACCTACATGCATATACACAATAAAATCATCAAAGAAACTTATACTAAAATATACTAGGAATGGTATTCTCTGCTGAGTGATCCTTCCTACTCTTCACTAATTTGCAATTAGAATAAAATGATTTTAATCTAACTACTCCTTTCATAGTCCCTTTTAAGAGTACAATGTGCATTTTAGGGGACAAGCTACTAACAGAAAAAAATAAACCAATAGGAACAAATACCTTGGCATGAAACTCAAGCACCATTGAGCAATAACCGGAGGTCTCTGGGAGTGGCCCATGGGTACCTATAATTCCTAGATAGAAAACCAAGAAAAAAACAAAGGAGGAAGGAAAGGAAGAAAGAGATACAAATGTCCAAGGGGTGGTCTTCAAATAACTTCATTTGGCCTTTTATGGGGAAAGGAAGACATAGCTAAAAGTGTCCTACTTCTTAAAAAGCAAAAATTAGGTGGCTAAGCCAGGCAGTGGTGGTGCACATCTTTGATACCAGCACAGGCCAGCCTGGTCTACAGAGCGAGTCCAGGACAGCCAGGGCTACACAGAGAAACCCTATCTCAAAAAATAAAAACAAAACAAACAAACAAACAACAAACAAAAAATTAGGTTGCCGAGAACAATATACTTACACTTCAGGAGGCCAGAGTTCTTCCAGGCAAAAGAAAATCAAATGTTGACACTTGAACTCTTTCTAGAGGGTCTGGGGTAGGATCTGTGCCTTCTCACTCCAGGTCCAGGGGCCACCTGCACTCCTAGACTCATGCCTGGTCTGCCATTCACTGTCACCATCTCTGCTTCTGCTATCACAGTTCCTTCTGGGATTCTGACCCTTTGCTTCCCTGTAATAAGAACCCTTGTGACCCCACCCCCAATGGGAGAGATGACCCCACCCCTCACCATGGGTATGGAAGAACTGCCCTCCCCTCCATGGCATGGGCCTAGGAGAGCTGGCTCTGGTGGCCAGACCTGACCAGCTCCGCTACCACCCAGACCCACGTCCTGGGCTTTGGGTTGGCCCACCCTAGCATCTATCCCATCTATGACCTGCTGGAGTGCACAGGATCTCCATAAGTCAGGGTAACAGCAGGATATCCGAGAGGAGTTTTGGTGAGGGTCCAGTGATGAAGGCATGCCAGAGGCCTGGAACCAGACCCATGACTCATTGCAATGAACATTTTACGGGTGGGACTGATTGGACAAAAGGGTCTACTGCGTGACACACCGCAGCTCCCATGCCAGGATGAATGAAGAGGTGTTAGAAAGACAGAGGAATGAGGTGATTTGTTTGTTTAATTGTTTGTTTGTTATGTTTTGTTTTGAATTAATTTCCTGGGGAAGGGGCACACTGCAGGGGTGAGGGGAAGATATGGAGGGACTGGGAGGTAAGTGAGATTGGGGTGCATATGAAATTCCCAAAGAATCAATAAAGAATTATGTTTAAAAAAAGAAAACCTGGTGATTATACTGTGTCTACTAAATAATCCAGGGCCATCTCTCCACCTCGCTGTCTTTAATTCAATTGCATCTGCAAAGTCCCTTTTGCCGTATACAGTGCTGCTGTAGTCACAGGTTCTGAGCTTTAGGGCAGGCCATCAGTCAACTCATCACCGGAGGAAACCAGGGTCTTTGATTCTACTGCCCCTCGTGTGCATGGTAAACAGAACCTCGCTGAGTCTTTCACAGTCCTGTGGGATACACACCGGATTCCTTTTAAAGTGGAAGATGCCCAGTCTAGTGCAACTTGAGATTCTGCCCCATGTCAGAGAGCTGGGATCAAACCCAGGTTCCTGGATTGGAGCCAAAGGCTGCCGGCCTCACTGCCTTCCCCCCATTCCTCTCTCCATTCTCTTGCACTTCCTCTTTCCTGTCTAGACCTGTTCCCCAGTTCCCTGGACAGCTTCAGCTGCAATTTCCTAACTTCTAATGACAGTGTGACACAGCTCGGTCTTGGAGATCGCTTTCCTTGCAAGATGATGGGCAACCCTTCTGAATCCCCTCCACAGAGCCTTTCCTTCTCCCACTTCCACAGGCACATTGGGGGCCTCTTGTTCTGGGTAAAAAAGTAGAGGAAAGACAGTTGTAAGTGAAAACTACAGGACAATCTAGACGATACATGCTCTATGAGATGGGTGGATGGGGAAATCAGACTGAGCAGGGAGTCCAAATCCTGGAAACCAAGTATCATTTTCTTTGTCCGTTGGTTAAAGAAATCTAAACTCCAAGAAAGACCAAGGGCAATAATCTGAGTTATTAATCTTTGTTCCCCTGTGCCTTGCATATAATTGTGCAACAGTTGGGAATTGGGTGGAAAGAAGCTGACAGACTGGAGCAAGCAGTGTCTGAATTCAACAAGGGGTTAAATTTTATTGCTTCCATTTTTGTAGGTCTCTATTCTACCTAGCAACTGATGACACCAGATATCTGTCCCCGTTTTCATTGGAGAAGGCCTTTTGTATTGCTCAATTACCAAATTTCCCATGAGCCGGTAGAGTACAGGTTTTCAAAAGACTCATCAGGGGCCTGTCACCGTCTGAGGTAAAAGAATCCGGAAAGACAAGGACTTTAGTTGGAGTTGATGATGCTCCCGTTCCCTCTCCTCACAGTACTCTTGGTGCAGCACAGTCAAGCCCGTAAGTATCCCAAGTGCTCTCTACTTCCAAAGCTAAAGCTGAAGCATGGTGGCTAATTCCTAAACTTGTGGTGCAAACTACAAAACATCCAGGGGTAAATCTGCAGGCCCGTCACACCCAAGACTTGAAGGGTGATAGACCGGCTGACCTGTTGCCCAGGCGTGTGTGTGTGTGTGTGTGTGTGTGTGTGTGTGTGTGTGTGTGTGTGTGTTAACTTTCTTACTTTCCCTCTGAGAACTGTCTCCTTACTTTTCTGCTATAGCCTTTCTTTTCCTTGTTTCTCCTCTTTTCTAACAGTGAATCTCATTGGACTGTGATGAGAGTTTCGGGGTGTTGAACAATCCAATGAGTCCATTGTTCAGGGTAATAGATATCTTCCTCCGCCTCCTCCTCCTCCAGGGACTGCCTGTAGCAAAAGATCCAAGAAAGATAAAGCCATGGTTCTGAGCTTGTTTACTGGACATAGGAAATATTAAAAAAAAATATTTTTAAAAATGTTCTGGGGCTGGAGAGATGGTTCAGTGGTTAAGAGCACTGGCTGCTCTTCCAGAGGACCCACGTTCAATTCCTAGCGTCCACATGGCAGCTCACAAGTGTCTGTAACTCCAGCTCCAGGGGGTCCAACACCCTCACATAGAGACATACATGCAGGCAAAACACCAATGTGCATAAAGATAAATTAAAATTAAAATAAAAAACAAAAAAATAAAAACCCCAAGAGTTCTTCATAGTTTAAGGAGCTTGTGTCTCTAGGGAAGCAGGAAGCTTGTGTTGCCACAAACACACGAGGGTCCTTGTGTGACAGAAGGCATATGTCTTCTCGGCCCTAAGCAACTGCCTTCTAGCTGGTGCTGGTGCTTCTAAAGGTGCATAGGAGAATCCCAGAACTCAGACCAGACCACCTAAGCTGCTTACTAATGTGCATGCCAGGAAGGAGCTTTTTCAAATCATCTGTGTATTAATTCTACAAATACTGATTGATAGTTTGGTATGTGCCAGATGATTTGAGACTATAACAGCTGGATGTGGTGATGCATGCTTACGATCCTAGCTACTCCAGAGGTGTGGAGTGGGGGGGGATTGTGAGTTTGAGGCCAGTTTGGGCAGCATAATGAAACCCCGCCTAAGAGAGAGAGAGAGAGAGAGAGAGAGAGAGAGAGAGAGAGAGAGAGAGAGAGAGAGAGAGAACGAGAACAATAAAGACGAGGTTGGAATTTTCTCTGGGTTAAGATTGGCAGAGTTCACATAGCAATCAGAACACAGATCTTCTGCCTTCAGTCCGGGCCTTTTCTATGACACCGCTGGATTTCTGAGTACTCGGTACTTAGATAATCTGTGGGAAATTATAAGATAGGGTGTCACTTGGTGCTGTCACTGTTTGCCTTTTGACCGCCTAAGTGCCTTTCTGCTCTGTTGCTTGCCTTCTGAAGGCTGACCGCTACAGACTACAGCACCGTCTTTTTGCAGATTGGTTTCTGCGTTGGTTCATTTGGTGGGAGACAGTAAAGAAGAGAGACTAGAGCATGGAGAAAAGAGAGATTGGGGTGCGCCTTGCTGGCCCCTTCCCTGCTTTCTATGAGTCTCTGGCAGTAGCTAGAGCTCTCTGTGATGGAGACTGCTTTGCTTTCCTTTTACTGAAAGCTCTCTTTACAGTTTTATGGGCTTCAGTAACTCTTATTTGCTGTTCATTTCCCTTCGATCTTAGGGGTGAAAGTGGTTTTTTATAGCTGTTTCATTACTGTCTCTCCATGGGACCTATCTGTGAAGGCTGTTTCCCAACTGTGACTCTCACTAAATGAGCTTTGAGGACAATGACGGGGAAGGGATTTCGGATTTATGGAAAATGGCTTAAGGCCTACTTGATATTTGTGCCCAGTGTTACCCATAAATAGATACTTTTACACCATAGATGGATGGAGGATATGGGGAAGAGAAACCAGGATGTCTGAGACATAACTCCCAGAAATGTTAAGATATCCCGTATTACTTCCAGCATGTCTCTCTCTTCAGCTGCGCAGTCCACAAGTGACCGCCCCTGCTCCTTCCGGGCTCACCTAGCTCCTGTTCACAATTCACAGCACAGTTCTCTAACTCTCTTTCTCCCAAATCTTCCTTGAGCTGCCCTCCTTAAAGACAGGAGGAGACAGCTCCATTTCCTTTTCAGTTCTGTGACCCTATCTAGTTCCCAACAGGCACTTAAATGCTTCCTGAAAGGCCTCATATTTCAAGGGAACATTCCTAAAGCATTGAAATCACCTGCTTGAGTTACAGTGAGCTTGGACAATGCTAATGAGTCCAATTTTAGAACTGTGGTCTACTGTAGCTGCAGAATTTATGTAAAAATGACTCTTTTGTGTTTTTCCAACTCTTGCGCTTCATTTCAGCTGGTGTGAAACTGAACTGATGATGTGTGTCACTGTAATCAAACTGGGGACATTGTGCATGAGATTTCTATTGTGTAACCACATACAGTATGTGTGTTTCGTCTTGATATAGTCACAGTTAGACTCTTGATGTTATTAATAATTTAATAGATGTTAGCCCACTGCATCAATCTACTTTATAAATGATGCTTTCAGAGACAAGGACTGATGAGAGATAAGCCAGTGTACTAGGGTTAGAAGATAAACTTGTAGACCATTTGCTTAGAAATGATCTTGAGTTCGAAGAATTAACATGAGAAAATATGGACATTTGCTAAAAACGTTATTAGACTTCGGTCTGTTTCCAGGGAGCTCTTGCCCAGGTCCATACAGAAGAAATTTCTCCAAGACCATATTTCACTTCCCTAAGGCCCTCTTCTTCAGAGGTGACATTGAATGTGTCTAAATCTTATAAATTCAGTTAATTTATAGATCTTTCTCTTAACTAGGAAGAACAGCTGTCTATTCTTGCTTGACCACAAACCTCTTAGCCTAGAGGACCGCTGAAAATTGGAGGGAGGAGGTCTAGATTAAAGACCAAACACATAACTCTTTAAATGCTTTCATTTTATGAAGCCCAAATTGAGACAGATGGCAAAGGGCGTTATTTCTGACATCTAAGTTTATATTAGAAACAACCTTTTAAGAGTGTATGTATCAAATCACATTTTATTACAACCTCAATGAATCATTTAAAGAATAAGATTCCCTGGGTGCATGCCTTTAATCCCAGCACTCAAGAGGCAGATCGCTGTGAGTTCGAGGCCAGCCTGGTCTCCAGAGCAAGTTCCAGGTCAGCCAGGGCTACACAGAGAAACCCTGTCTCAAAAGCCAATCATAAGGCAGGTGGCGGCACAGGGCTTTAATTCCAGCATTCCTGAGGCAGAGGCAGGCGAATCTCTGAGTTTGAGGCCAGCCTGGTTTACAGAGCAGGTTCCAGGACAGCCAAGGCTACACAGAGAAACCCTATCTTGAAAAACCAAATAAATAAATAAATAAATAAATAAATAAATAAATAAATAAATAAATAAATAACAAAAAACCAATAATAGTAAGATTCACAAAATTGAGATTCTTCTGGGAAGTCCAAGACATGTGGTCATTATTGTACCAGGATGTATGGAAGGAAAAGAAAAAGCATCTCCGCTCACTCATTCACTCTGTGGAGCATGACAGTGGTCTCCTTGATGTTCCTCCAATACGTAAAGCATGCACTCTCAAGGATTTGGGCTTAGCTGTCTGGAAGGGTCTTTGCCCATGGACTCCTCCTTCACTAAAGACGTAACTCTGCTCAATATTATCTGATCACTGGAGCCTTTTCTGGTCCCTTTAACATGTTGGCTCTCTCGGTACCATCTCCTTCCTCTGCTTTAGTTTTCTTTATACAATCTATTACCATTTGACCTTGTATTATATATCTGTTGACTGGCAATATCTCACAGGACTGGGGCTTTGATTTGTTCCTTATTGTACCTCTAGCATCTAGGACTGTGTTTACTGGAAATTCAGAAAAGAATAATACTTATATGAAATGAGATCTTGGTAACCTTTGAAAGGATAGTGTGCTGGCTGGTTTTGTGTGTCAACTTGACACAAGCTAGAGTCATCAGAGAGGAAGGGACCTCAAATAAGGAAATGCCTTGATGAGATCCCGCTGTAAGGCATTTTCGTTCGCATTTAGTGGTCATTGAGGGAGGGCCCAGTCCATGGTGGGTGGTGCCATCACTGTGCTGGTGGTCCTGGGTTCTGTAAGAAGGTGAGCTGAGCAAGCCATGGGGAGTAGGCCAGTAAGCAGCACCCCTCCGATGGCCTCTGCATCATCTTCTGCCTCTAAGATCCAACCCTGTATGAGTTCCTGTCCTGACTTCCTTCAGTGGTGAGCAGTAATGCTGAAGTGTAAGCCAAATAAACCCCTTCCTCCCCAATTTGCTTTTTGGTCATGATGTTTCATCACAGCAATAGAAACCCTGACTAAGACAGGTAGCCATGACAGAGGAGCTTTTATGGTTTCAATAGGTGTTCCTCACAGGCTTATGTGTTTGGATACTTGGTTTCCAGATGGTGGCACTGTTGGGATATTGCAGAGCTTTTGGACTTGGGACTTAGCTTGCAGGCATAAGGCTGTAGGGACAAGAGTTGAGAGGCATAGGTTGACCCTGCTTCTATCCCAAGCCCAATATTTCCTGATTGTGTAATGTGAGGATAGTGTTCTGCAAGGGCCTCCCTCCCTAACCAAGTTAATCCCAGCTTCCATGTCTCCTCCACTATCATGTACTTTATCCCCTGAAAGTGTTATACAAATAAATTCTTCCTGCCTTAAGTTGTTTCTGTTAATCAAGTATCGTGTCACAGCAATGAGAAAAGTAACTCATCCGGAATATGGGTACCAGAGGTGGGTCACGGTGATGGTAAACATGGCTGCGCAGTTTGTAGGACTGTGGAAGCGATGTGAAAGAGTAATATGAAAAGGTTTGGCTGGGCAGTGGTGGCGCACGCCTTTAATCCCAGCCCTTGGAAGGCAGAGCCAGGTGGATCTCTGTGAGTTCGAGGCCAGCCTGGTCTACAGAGCAAGATCCAGGACAGTCACCAAAACTACACAGAGAAACCCTGTCTCAGAAAAAAAAGAAAGAAAGAAAAGAAAAAAAAGAAAGAAAATGTTTGGAGCTGGGGGCAAGCAAAACCTTAGACTTTTGTACATAGAGCTTCATGGGATATTCTGGCAGGAGCGTGGAAGACCAGATGCTGAGATAAGTGAGAACAGGCAATATTTGCTCATGAGTTTCAGATGGCAGCAGGGAATTGGACTAGAAGACATTTGTGTCACATTCTGGCCAAGAATCTATGTTCTTCCTGTGCCCTGAAGGTTGAAATGAGGCTGAACTAAAAAGTAATGCACCTTTTTTTGTGTGTGTGTGAAGATTTCTAGTCAGCCCAACGTTCAGACTATGGCAGTTACTATCCCATGCTTTTTAGCCATATTACAGTGATAGGCAGCAGAAATAGAGAAGAAATATTTGAAAAGGGTGTAGTTTGACAAGAAAAGGACCATGAAGTGGGTTGTGGTCAAAGCAACTGTGGAGAAAGCTGGGATAACTAATAAAGATGTTAACACAATTAAAGAAAAATCCCACATTCTGCATCAGGCCTGTAGAAATGGAGAGATTTCTTAAAAGCAAGATCTCATTCATCAAAGGTTCCATGCACTCCCCTTCCAATAGGACCACGTAAGGAAATGTTTTCTCAGGTTCAGCTGCTCAGGTGCTCAGAAGCCAGTGGAGCTATGTTGAAAGGGAGACATCTCAAGCTAGCCGCAGAACTTGGCGGCAGCATCCCCATGGCGCTGGCTTTGCAAGCATGCACAATACAGTAGTTATCAGGTTAAAGAAACTTGCACCAAGGTCCTAGAAAGCCACCAAGGCTAGGCATTGTGTCGAAGGGTAGGATTCCTGCATGGCACTCCTCAGTGGACTATACATGGACCGGTGAAGGTGAAGCCTCAGATGCAATCAAGATCCTGGGATGTTGAAGGGCTGTGGGACATGTGTTGAGGAAAGCTGTAAGCACCGCGGGCAAGAGTGAGACGAAGTACACTGCTGGTAGCAGAGCTGTACAGGTTGGACTCCCCAAACCCACTGGCACACAAATGACATTACCACCACCCCTAGGAACTAGACACGGAGCTGAAAACTAACACCATCTCTGTCCCTCCTTCCCACAATGCCTGAAATCACAAGGCTGGTTACCAGGAATCACAATCGAATTTACCTTATTCAGGCACTGGGTTGCTTGGACAGCACAATAGATGAACTTTGTTGACCTGGCTAAAACTGTGAGCTTGCCTTGCTTCAGCCCTAGTTTTCCTGGCTATCCTTTAGTTCTTCCCCTTTCGAATGGCCATATTTACTCTATGCCAGTGTATTTTGAAAATACATAAGGTTTTTGGTGGTGTTTTTGTTTTTGTTTTACAGAGGATTGTTGCTCAAATTCTAAATGGTCTTATAAAAAAAAAATCTGGAAAGCTGGATGGTGGTGGCGCATGCCTTTAATCTCAGCACTCAAGAGGCTGAGCCAGGCGGATCTCTGAGAGTTCAAGGCCAGCCTGGTCTACAAAGCAAGATCCAGGACAAGCACCAAAACTACACAGAGAAACCCTGTCTCGAAAAAAACCGAAGCGCCGGGCAGTGGTGGTGCACGCCTTTAATCCCAGCACTCAGGAGGCAGAGGCAGGGGGATCTCTGTGAGTTTGAAGCCTGCCTGGACTACAGAGTAAGCAAATGCTGAAAGATCAGAGAGACAAAGGAACAGCGCCTTCTCACCTTGCCAACTTCATGAATCCTCTGACTGAATGTCTCTGAATCCTCAGCTGAAAGGGGTCCAGCCGAAAAAAGGCTTCAGCTGAAAAGGGCTTTAGTTCCTGTCTCCTTACGCCTTATATTCCTTTCTCCATCCAGCCATATCACTCCTTTCTTAGTGCTGGAATTAAAGGCATGTGTGTTTCCCAAACACTGGTAGCAAAGGCATGAGATCTCAATTGCTGGGATTAAAGGCATGTGACTCCCAAGTACTGGTTTGGTTTCTCTCCTAGGCTGAATCAATCATGTAGTCCAGGGTGACTTTGAACTCACAGAGATCCAGATGTCTGCCTCCCATGTGCTAAGATTAATGGTATGTACCACCACTGCCTGGCCTCTATGTTTAATCTAGTGGCTTGTTCTGTTCTCTGATCTTCAGGCAAATTTTATCAGTGTACACAATATATCACCACAGAGGTTCACAGTTAAAAGATTGCCTGATTCTTGGGAAAATTCTTTTGGACTTCGTATTTTTCTTAAAAGATGCATTTATTTGTACTTTATAGGTGAATGTTTGTCTTTTTGTATGTATATGTATCATGTGTGTGCTGTGCTCAGGGGAGGCCAGAAAGGGGCGCTGAATCCCCTGGAACCACAATTACAGTTTTGAGCTGTCTTGTGATACTGAGGACCAACCGTGGGTCCTCAGCAAGAGCAGCAAGTGCTCTTAACCACTGAGCCATCTCTCCAGCTCCAAGATTTTGGACTTTTGATCAGTGTTGGAAGTCTTAGGACTTCGGAGACTTTTACAGTAGTAAAATGCATCTTGCATTTTGAAATGGCCATGAGCCTCTGGGGCCAGGATGGAATGCTGTGGTTTGAGTGTGAAATGTACCCCCAAACTTGTATATTTAAACACTAGGTGCTCGGTTGGTGGCATCTCTTTAGAAGCTGTGCAGCCTTTTGGACATGGACCCTAGATAACAGATGTAGGGTCTTATGGTTAGGTTTAAGGGTTATAGTCCGGCACACTTCCAGCCTGAGCCCTCTGCTTCCTGCCCCGCAGAGATGTGAGGGAACTATACCACAAGATTGGGCAAACCCAGACTAGAGTGAGTCCAGCCGCCTTGCCTTTCCACCATTATGGACTGTACCCTTTAAACCACGAGCCAAAATAAGTCCTTCCTCCCTTAAGTTTCTATCACATATGTTTCCATAGAGACGAGAAAAGTAATTAAGACGGTGGCTAAGAAGTCAGACCGTCACATTTGTCATTTTGAGGCTCACCATAAGATCCTGTCACTTGACAGTTGCTAGGAGAGAGGACTCATGGTTCCCACTAAACGTCGAGCCATCAACATCCCTGCATGCTTTGAGAAGAATCCGAAGGCTCTTTGAACTGAAAATACAACCATCTACTTCTCTCCTCACTCCCACAACACCCGGAATCCCAAAGAATAGTTATCAGGAATCATTGTTACCTCACTAAAGCATTGGGTTACTTGAACAGCGCAACAATAAAATGGTCTTTGTTGACAGGATTATCCGACCAGAACCTACTACCACCTAAGGAAGAGCTGGAGTGTGTGTGGGCCTTAGGGACTGGAAAATCAGAGACTGAAACATGTTTGACACCAGGGGGCAGGAGAGAGCACTGAGAATCCAGGGTCTAGGAGGCTGTACTTGGACTGGGAAGCGCCTCTTTCTTATAGAGTTGGGTAGTCATAGGTAGAGAAGCTCCCTATATGAGAGATCAGATTTTGATTCCTGGTTCTTTCATCACAGCTTCTAAGGTTGTCCTTACTTAATTTAGGTAATTTTGAGCAATGTACTTAATCTCTCCGCGCTTTTTATCTGTGGAATGGGAATTACAGGGCTTTCCTTGAAGGGCTATTGGGGGGGCTGGATAGGTAGCCCAATAGATAGATACTTGTCTAGCTTGTGCAAAGTCCTAGGTTTAATCCCCAATGCCACATAAAACCAGATTTGGCGATGCATGTCTGTGAGCCCAGCACTTGGGGAAGAGAGGCAGGAGAATCAGAAGTTCACGGTCACTCTTGACTACATAGAGAGTTTGAGGCCAGCCTGAAGTACGAGACCATGTTATGTTTTGCTTTGTTTAATTATTGTGAGGATTGAATGAAACCGATGTTTCTCATTGGTATGGTACAGAACACATGGGACTTGCTCAACAAATAAATGCAGTTCTAATGGTTATGGTGGAGGCACCTGCTGCCCTGTAGGACTCATTGACGGTCCAGTTGATTTGCCTTCATCTCCTTGGAGATTTCTATGTTTGCTTGCTTGGTTTTTTGAGACAGGGTTTCTCTGTGTAGCCCTGACTGTCCTGGAACTCACTCTGTAGACCAGGCTGGCTCTGTCTCTTGAGTGCTGGGATTAATGGCGTGCACCACCACTGCCTGGCCCTTGGAAGACTTCTCAATGGACCACTTCTGTAAGGGCAGGATTTTCCTGTCCTGATTGTGTTCCATCGATGCCCTTCTTTGGACACTTGTGTTTGTTCATGTTCTATACTTTTTGTTTCCCGGTTATACTGTTAATTCCTGGAGGGAAGAATTGGTATCTGACTCATTTTCCACTTTCTGACTTTGCCCTATATCTTGTTCACGGTAGATGTTCAATAAACATAAATCTTCTCCATGGATGAATGCCTGAAAACACGTGTTCTATCAATTGCTCTGTAATCCAGTAACTTTCCTCAGATGTTTGTCCAAATGGCCCAACTGCTGCTGTACCAACTTAAAGAGACAAAACTCCGGACAGTAGAGCAGCCAGCATGTGGATGTGAGAGCTGCGTGTTGGTTTGAGTGGGTTCTCCAGCAATGCCCAGCACAGACGAATAAGCAGCAAGCGCCCCTTCAGAAGCAGTTTGACTGGCCCAGCTGGACAAAGGGCCAAATTCTAGACTGTAGATTTCAGCTCAAGTGACTAATGCTGATGATTCATGGAAAGGGAAGAACCAACCCTGATTTCATAATTATTGGAGCAAGAAAGGGATCAGAGCAAATGGTGTGAAATCGCCATTTGTGTAGAACAATGTTAGTCTTTCCAAATGATTCGACCTTAATGGTTATATTAAATCTTTGATCATCTGGGCAACACATTCTGGTAAGATACAAATTGTCACAAGGCGTGACATACTATGAAGAAGAGTGTGACATCGACTTCCCCTCATCTTCCCTGTTCTGAGTTACTGACTTCACATCTGTCAACAGACATCCCTCTATAGTGAAGTGTCATTTTAGAAACCCAGCTAAGTGCCGGGCATGACTTATACCCGTAGAGGCACCAGATGGGTCCCATGGAGAATGAAATTGTGGTGTCCTTGGCCAGCAGGTATGCTTCTGCCAACTCCCACTGCCCTCTCTCCCTTTGGCCTATTCACCTCTTGCTGACTCTGAGATCTCCTCCAAGATGTCACCTTCTCTGCAAAGACTTCCCGGAGAGCCCACATTGACATGCTAGCCCCTATGGTGCTGCTTTGAAATCATCTTACTTATCCCCACCATGCCCTGAACTTCTTGGACGGTCCGAGAGTTCATGGTGGGTGGGGAGGATTGTTTCATTTCAATTTACTTTTTTTTTTTTTAAATATTTATTTATTATATATACAGTGTTCTGCCTGCATGTTTACCTGCAGGCCCGAAGAGGGCACCATATCTCATTACAGATGGTCGTGAGCCACCATGTGGTTGCTGGGAATTGAACTCAGGACCTCTGGAAGAGCAGCCAGTGCTCTTAACCGCTGAGCCATCTCTCCAGCCCCTCAATTTACTTTTAATCCTTAGTGATAATCACAAATTTCATATTGATATTTAGATAGAAGAAAAAGCAGGAAAACAATAAGAAAGTAGAGAAGAGGTGTGGTTCAGTACAGCAAGGAAAAGCAGTGCTTTTGAAAGCATTTTCCCCAGGAGGCCTGACTCTTACTTAATAGCTATCCTAGCTCCGCCTAATCCGGGAGGAGGTGTGCACGCCCCCATGTGTCTAGAGAGAAGGGGATAGAATGAGAGTAAAGCACGGGGTTAGGTTGTCAGGGTTTTCTCTCCCTCAGAGGTTCTTCAGGCATTATCCCATCCCCAGCCCAGTGCATGGTCTTTGGCCTTTCACCCAAGACCAGAACATCACACTGTACATTGCTTACAAGTAGAGGTGACCTGTAAAATTTCATCCTCAGTCACAGGGCTGAAGTATTTTCCAGGTTGTAATTCCTAGGATTTGATAATGGTATTGGAGAAAACAGTGGGATGGATGCCATTGAGTATAGAGCAAAGACATTGGTGTGGGGATTTTAGTGGCGTGCAGGTAATAGAGTCTGTCAGCTGTGACTCTCAACACCTCCCTTTGCCTCCTCCTCAGGGACCCACTCTCTGAGATATTTTCGTTTGGCTGTTTCGGATCCTGGTCCCGGAGTCCCTGAATTTATCTCTGTTGGGTATGTGGACTCACACGCTATCACTACATACGACAGCGTCACTCGAAAGAAGGAGCCAAGGGCTCCATGGATGGCAGAGAACCTGGCACCTGATCACTGGGAGAGGTACACTCAGCTGCTGAGGAGCTGGCAGCAGACATTCACAGTGGAGCTGAAGCATCTACAGAGGCATTACAACCACTCAGGTGTGATTACAGCAGATGAGCGCTCTCCCTCACTGAATCCTTCCCAGAAGGCCCCGGGCTGCCCATGGCCAGGGTGACCAGTTGCTCCTATCCTCTGTAGTCTTTGGCAAAACCCAGAAAATCAGGCGGATGGGGTTCAGTGCTCACCATCTCCCCTGTGGCTCTTCCACGCTGTCCTTCTATGAAAGCCCTTTATCCCTTGTCCCCATATTCCTAGCCCATTAGCACCTAACAATTTTCTCTTTTCTAAATTTGCCCACCTTGGGTTTCATTTTCTGATGGTTGGGCTTCCCGATTTGCTTGTTTCTGCACAGAAACGTACTATATGAATTGTCCCAGAGATATTTCTGGCTCCTGCATATCTCTTGCTCCTACACTGCACTCAGAATAGCTGGAAAATTTATCAATGAATCATTCCAAAGACAGAATAATTCCCCAAGGCAGGGCATCATTGTGACCCTTTGGCATGCAGTAAGTACCCCATCGATGTCTGTTAGTATGTGGGTCTACAAAACAGGAACCTTCTGGAACTCAAATCTATACGCCTGTGTGGTGGTGTCTTCTAGGGCAAAGAGTGCTTCGAGCCAAGCTCTATCATCTGAGAAGCCCCTTGTTTCTGCTTTCACCCATGCTTCTACAGCTTGTATGTGTTTCAGGGCTTCACACTTACCAGAGAATGATTGGCTGTGAGTTGCTGGAAGATGGTAGCACCACAGGGTTTCTCCAATACGCATACGATGGGCAAGACTTCATCATCTTCAATAAAGACACCCTCTCCTGGGTGGCTGTAGATAATGTGGCTCACATAACCAAGCGGGCATGGGATGCCAATCTGCATGAGTTGCAATACCAAAAGAACTGGCTGGAAGAGGAATGCATTGCCTGGCTGAAGAGGTTCTTGGAGTATGGAAAAGATACCCTAGAAAGAACAGGTAAAGAGAAGAGAGAACGTTGTTCTCATATCCGAGAAAAATCGGCTTTGTGTCTAACTTCCTCTTCTGCAGGTGATATTCACTCTGTGCTGAAATCCATCTCTTGGTTGGACTCTTCTGACCTGTAAGCCCCCAAGAGAACTCTCATTAGTTATATTTTTAGCAGCATCTTGACAAGCCTTAGCAATTCCAGTTGTCTTGACAGAATGTAGTGCCTCCAAGGGCACCTCTATCAAGAAAAGTCCTCCGTCTCCTGTCAGGGAGAGGTCGGGAAAAGCTTTTGAAAGCCGGGCAGTTGTTGCAAATTATTTAAGAAGCAGGGGTTCACTGGGGTGTGAGCGAAAAGTTGGCCTGTGAAGAGGAGTTGAGGAGGACTGGGTTTTCCTTACTTGGGGATTAACAGGACGATTCTTCTGGGTATGCAGCTCATCTTCTGCCATAAATACATGATGCCACTGGTCAACTTCAGCAAACTGCAGAATGTTTCGTGTTTGATGGGATGATTCAAAATGTTTCAGGAAATTCCCTGAACACTATAGACCTTTTTCCCATGAGAGTAATGTCCAGCGGGGGGACTCTCCAGAGCTGTGGCAAGCCCAGGGTGGAGAGGAGGGGTTTGGACCACGGTTGTAAACATGTCTAACTGTACAGGCTTTGGAGGCAGACCATTGGAGTCTCACGTTGGCTTTCCTCCCTCCTTGCAGAGTAACTATCATAGGCTCAGTGGTTGCAGTTGACAAGCCCATTTCAAACAGGCTCGAGCACATCCTATTTGAAAACAAGAATCTGAGCAGCCCGGGGGACCTAAGAAGCCAAAACCAATATCTGAATGCTTTTCTCCATGGGGAGTGGGGGAGGGGCGGGCAGGGGGCCGAAGCTACCAGTACAAATGTCACATCTTCGTGGCTTCTCCATTCCACAAGACAGGCTACTGCCTCTGAGTACTTGTAGCCTAAATAAATAAATCACAAGAGAACTAGGACTGGCCTGAGTTGGATCGTGTGTGGCCTCTTTAGCTAACGACTGTGACCATCAGAAAAAGCTTCAAAGATTTGGAGTGGGCAACAGTGTTCTGGCAATGACTAACGGTACAGCCAACAAGGCCTAACTGAGGAGATTCACCAGGGATGTCTAGCGGGGTCTAGTGGGGACCCCAGTAAGGGGTGGGGAAGAGCCTGAAGAAGGACACTATGGGAACACCATTGCTCCGGCATGATCTGAAGGGCAGGAAGAGGAGACATAGATAACAGAGCCCCGCAAAGGTTGATGTGTGGAAAGGGGATCCTTACGGTGAGAGGTGTGGCTGTGGAGGGATGTGGCCCTGGGCAGGACTGCAGCCTGGTAAGATTGGTACTTCATCATCAGCTCGCTGCTCTCTGGCTGAGGCAGTCCAGCGGGAACCCAGGGGCAGAGCAGTTCTAGAGATACAGTGTGAAGGCCTCGGCAGACCAGAGAAGGGCAGAGGCTAGATCCGGGGGCCCACCAACAGACACTAGCTGTTACACACTGTTTGGGTGATGGCGAAAGAGGGGGAATTACGATGAATACCTCGCAGGAGCTCGTGTCATGAAGCCTTGGAGTTATGTCTCAAAATGTGCTGTTATTTGGCAGGAGGAGTCCCCTCCTGTCAGGAAAAAGTGCAGCTTCTAGAAGGTAAGCCAGCAAAGCCTCAGTTTTGAGTAAAATAGGGTAATCGTGCCTACTTCACAGAAATTAGTGAAAATAATATAGATGAAAACACTTGCTAAGCTTCTGGGCACTGCTTACATATTAAATATTACTGCCGCCAGACTGAAAATGTCTGATAGCCTAGGTCTGGTTAAAATCTACGGCCAGCCTTGGCCACCCTTAACCCCGAGGATGTTTTAGGCTGATTCTCATCAGACAGGGAAAGGGGAGATAGTTCACTTTCTGACTGGGGTATGTCTGCCGCATAGCGGTGTTGGTTATTCTTCCCACCTCGGTAACAGAATGCCTGAAACAAGTAACTTAAGAATAGGAAAGATTACTCACAGTTTCAGAGGTTTGGGTCCATCCTGGTGGGAAGGATGTGGTGAAACAGTTTACATCACAGTGCACAGGAAGCAGAGGGAGGGAGAAGGGCCAGGGCAAGATACAGCCCCCAGGGATTCCCCACAGGGGCCTACTTCCTTTAGCTAGGCCCCACCTTCTGGGGTTTCCAGAACCTCCCAAAGTAACACCAACATCTAGAAAGCATGGATTTAACACATGAGCCTGTGAGGGACATTTATATTCAAGGCATACCGGTAGCATTTGCCCCCAATCGCCTGGCCTGCTGCTTGTCCTGAGTACAGTACTGGGCAAAAGGTTTGAAACGCAATCAGAGTTGCTAAAATTTGAGGTTTAGAGGTCACTAGCTAATTCTATGGATCCTGCCTGGCTCAAAAGCTGTTTGGATCAACCAGGAGGAAGCTGCATTGCATGGAAAGAATGTGGAAAGTTTGACTTCAGTGTACATGGTTTCCATTCCCTATCTTGAGTGTCATAGTGGTGTCTCAGCCTTTTGGTCAAAACCCATGTCTTGGGAGGTAGATTCATTTCTTGCGAGCATAGTAAAATAAAAAATTCTATTGGCAGTGTTTTATTTTGAATGTTGGGAAGTCTTTTCCTACAACTAAATCCCATGCCTCAGGTAAAAGACAAGGGAGGTATGTCTGCGATGAAGGCTCTTCCCTGTATCCACATGTCAGACAATAAGGTGGAGATAAGGAAGTGAGTCTCACAGATGAGTAGGAAGGTTCTCCAAATAGTGTGGTTGGTTTTGATATGGCTCCATGACCAGTTTCAGCTGGAAATGTTAAGATGACACCATATGGAAAATGAACATATTAAGTCATGAGGAAGCAAGCTCACCAAGGGATAATAACCCTGGGCTGGGCATGGTGGTACCTACCCATAATCCTAACATGCAGAAGGCTGAGGTAGGAAGATTGCGAGCTCAAGGCCATCTTTGGGCAGAGAGATGATGTCCCCTCCCTCTCCCATCATTGTTAGAGCCCTTCTGTAATATTAATTTCTGTAGCTTCTCTGAGGGCACATGAACTATGACATGTGCTTGTATCTGATTACAACTATCGGAGCACCAATCTGATAGCGTGGTGCGATTCAGAGCCTCCGTTGACCTGAGTTAGCTGTGGTTTTTCATTGTCACTAAACACAGAATCGGGGTCTATCACATTCTAATCTCCAATCTCTTGGTGAATTACTTATCAAGACAATCATTTACACATGTTGTGACTTGCTTTTCCTTGACACATAAGGGTATTCCAAAGGTGAACAGTCAACAACTCCAGTACACTCTCCAAATACTTGATGCTGTATGCCTTTTCTCCCTTTAGAGACAATATGTGGTTCGGCTCTGTGTGTTTCCTTGACTGTTCTCTAGAAGGAAGTCTACAAAATCCAAATCTGATGTTGATGAATCTGGGTTCTGGCTCATTCTCAGTTTTAGATATTTCTTGCAGCAAAGAAAATTAACTGGGGAACTTGGCTGTGTTCCAACACTAAGTGTTTGGTATCCAGGACCCTCCCCCTTAACTGTACCTGCTTCTCCCTAGAGCCTCCCGTGGTAAGAACGAGTCGGAAGGAAACTTTCCCAGGGACTACAACGCTCTTCTGCAGAGCTCATGGCTTCTACCCACCGGAAATTTCCATGACGTGGATGAAAAATGGGGAAGACATTGCCCAAGAAGTGGATTATGGAGCCGTGCTTCCCAGTGGGGATGGAACCTATCAAATGTGGGTGTCCGTTGATCTGGACCCGCAGAGCAAAGACATTTATTCTTGTCATGTGGAGCACTGTGGCCTCCAAATGGTTCTTCAGGCCCCTCAGGGTAAGTGTGGGGGTAGTGGCTGTCTGGGGAGCAAGGCTGAGGAAAGAGATGGGAAGCTGTGAATCCTGGAAGGAAGGGAGCTGGGCCACTGCCTCATCAGGTGGAACAATAGCAACAGATTTTTTTTTTAAGATTTTTATAATTCTCCCACCCCACCCCCACCCCCCGGAGCTGAGGACCGAACCTAGGGGGCCTTGCGCTTGCTACTGAGCTAAATCCCCAAACCCCGATTTTTATAATTTTTATTTTTAATTTAAAGGTTTTTTTTTTCTTCCCATTTTATGTGTGAGGTTTTTTTGCCTGCTTGTATGGCTGTTGTACCACATGTGTACGGTGTCCACGATGGCCAGAAGAGGCCATTAATTCCCCTGGACCTAGAATGATAAATGGTTGTTAGCTACCATGTGTGCTGGGAATCCAACCTAGGACCCCTGGAAGAGCAGCTTCTGCTCTTAATCACCGAGCCATCTCTCCAGCTCCAACAACCGTTTTTCTCAATCAGTGTTTAATTCACGTGCTCATCTATAGTCTTATGAATTACTGAGGACCTCAAGCAGCTATCGTTTGTCTAGGTCATACCTGTTGCTGTTTCCTGTGTTACAAATTACATTTTTAAAAATAGCTGGGCAGTGGTGGCGCACGCCTTTAATCCCAGCACTCGGGAGGCAGAGGTAGACGGATCTCTGAGTTCAAGGCCAGCCTGGGCTACAGAGCAAGTTCCGGGACAGCCAGGGCTACACAGAGAAACCCTGTCTTGGGACTAAATAAGTAAATATAAGAGAGCATAGGCCCGTATTCCACTTGCTGTCAGATGATGAGGGAGAAGAGATGACGGACGGGGAGCTTCCTGATCATCACAATGACAAGGTTAATGCAGACGGGAGAAGCAACCTGGAGGTTTTTCTCATTTATTTACTCACAGAATCAGGAAGCATTCTTCTAGTGGTGAACACGGTCTCTGGGACCATAATCCTCACCATTGTCCTGGCTGGAGTTGGTGTTCTGACCTGGAGAAGGTTCCGGCGTGAGAGGCATGACGGACTGTAGAGGCTGCTTGTGGTCCCCCTGCTGCGGCTCCCGAGACTTCGGTTCACTGTATCTGCCACGTGAGTTCCATGTAGAAGCGGGCTGACCCTCGTGTTCGGGTCACTGGAGGGCCTGGGACAACGTTCCCCCTCTCTAGAGAAAGTATTTCTTAATTTTCCTGTCTCCACAACCATTCTTCTATCCCAATCATATGAAAGCCCTCCTCCTGCAAAAGTCATTTCTCAGAATATGAAATGTTTAGAAGTCTAGGCCTTTGGAAAACAGGACTTGAGACAAGGAAGGGAGAAGGAGAAGCAGGAGATGTACTTTTGATGGCATAGACAATAAATCCATCCATTAAATGTGTACTGCATGTCGTGCTTTAAGCGCCATACTGGCTCATGGGAACAGCAATGAAAAAGACAGCCATGACCTCACGGCATAGAGCTGATGGCGTGGTCTTGAAAGATCATTTTCTATCTCTGGTTTACTAGTTACTCAAGCTAGTCACAGCAAATATCAGTGAAACCCGGATCAGGCTCAGAAGCTGGTGGGCAGGAGCTTGCCTTTTCTTGACAGTCATGGACTGGAGCCCAACCCAAGTGATACTGTACGTGTGTGGTATTAGGTACCAGTGGGACCGATCCATTTGTTGTTGATTGTTTTTTACTCTTTGCTCTTTTGGCTTTTTGGAGGGCCCACCACCCAGCTCCCAAATAAATCACACACAGAGGCTTATTCTTTCTTATGAATGCCCAGCCTTAGCGTGTCTTGTTTCTGGCCAGCTTTTCTTAAATTATCCTGTCTACCTTTTGTCTCTGGGCTTTTACCTTTCTCTGTTCTGTAATTTTTTTTCTTTACTTCTTTCTCTGTGGCTTGCTGTGTAGCTGGGTGGCTGGCCCCTGGAGTCTTCCTCTCCTCCTCTTTCTCGCTCCTTGATCTTTTCTTCCCAAATTTCTCCTTCCGTTTATTCTCTCTGCCTGCCAGCCCTGCCTATCCTCTCTCCTGCCTAACTACTGGCTGTTCAGCTCTTTATTAAACCAATCAGGTATTTTGGACAGGCGCAGTAACACAGCTTCACAGAGTTTAAAAAAAATGCAACATAAACAAATGTAACACATCTTTGCATCATTAAACAAATATTCCACAGCATAAACAAATGTAACACATCTTCAAATAATATTCCACAACATCCATTTACTAGAAAACCAACTAAGATAGCTGGTGGGTGAGTATTGTTTCCATTATAGAGTAGAATATGAGTCATAAACCAACTAATACATGCATCTCAAGAAGAAAGTTCCTGCTTTTTATCTTCTGCAATTTGGAGATTTTGAATTAAAATTTGTCAAGTTCTAAGAGAATCTTGAGAAAGGCTAAAACTGTCAGTGATTGCTTCTAGATTTTGCTGAATATTGCATATATTTTGAGCTGTGAATAAAAACACATGTAACTGACTAAAACCTTCTTTTCCTTTCAGAGCAAAAAGAAGTCATCTACCATCCCACACGAGCCAATGAGAGCAGCTCTCTCTCTCAGGAGCCATGATCTCTGCTCTCAGGCAGCCATGTGTCTGTGGTCGGAAGTCTCGACCATACTCCTGGCACAGTGGGGATTGGAGAATTGAGCATTTGTGATAAGAAGACAGGAGCTACACATTTTTCTTTGTTCTTTGGCTCCTGAAGAGCTGTCAGTGTTCAGGCTCTTTATGGACCCCTTTATCACAGCCGACTTCAAATACAGTCTGTCTCATGACCCAATACTTCCCAACATCTTATTTCTCCATGGTGATTTACAAGTAGATTACGGAGTCTCAGAGCTGCAAGGAACTCTCTCATCCTAGCAGGAGATGTCTTCCTATAATGCTATGGACTTGGGCATCCAGCCTTCACTTGACACCATGTGAGGGTACCCTATTCCACCACAAACAGCCATTCCTGCTCCTCTTCTCTCGTGAGAATGTTTACCATGTAAGAACTTTGACTATCATGGCTATCATGACTGTGTGTGAATCTATAAGTAGGGTTGGACCAGCCCATGAAAACAGCCACCAACTTTCTACAACAGCCTGTGAATGGACTAGTCATTAAACACATATTATGGCCCAAGAGGAAACAGAAGCAGCCTGTTCATGGCAGCTCTGCCAGATAGCTTGGCATATTGGAAGTGTGTCTAGCTGGGTCTATGGCAATGGCTTCACTTTTACTGCTTCTGTGAGAAATTAGAACAATAATTTATCAAGCTGAATGTGCTGGGACTCCTCAGGAAGCTGAGGCAGGTGGACTGTATGTTTGGGGCTAGCTTTAGCTACTCAATGCAACTCTATTTAAAAAAAAAACAAAAAACAAAACCAAAAAAGCCTTAACTGACTCCTGAAAGTTGTCCTCTGACCTCCACATGAGTGCCATGGCGTAGCTCCTGTCTTCTTATCACAAAATACACTAAATAAATAAATGTAAACATCTTATAAATATGACAGTGTGTTTTGTCTCAAAAAATAGTCCCCTCCTCCCCTTTTAGTGTTGGAGACTGAATTAGTACAGAAAAGACAGAAGATAGAATTGATCTTTTTGGGCTAAGGGTGTAGCTCAGTGGTGTATCTCAGAGAGCTTCCTTAGCATGTGCGAGGTCCAAGGGTCAATCTTCAGCGCGCGCGCAAACACATACACACCACCACCACCACCAACAACAACAACTATTAGAGTTGCCATTGAATTAATTCATGTTTACTGATTACAGATGTTCAGTAACCAAGGTCTACGAACAATGTGGTACCATAATCTAAGTGTGACAGAGAACTTCACCACCACTTCAATTATGCTTAGGCTTTGAGTTGTCTTTGCTGAATATTTTAGATCAAGAACACTACATGAAGAACCTGTTGGAGTGGTTTTGTTTTAAACTCCATTTATTATCTGTTTTCTCTTTAGCATGTACAGACCAACGTTTTGTCTAGAAAATGGCAAGTGGGGCAAGTAAGAAGGGAAGCGGTTTGAAGAGCAGTGTGGGGGCTGGGCATGTTGCTCAATTGCTAGACTGCTGGATTAGCCTTCAGAATCCCTGGGTTCAATTTGCAGGGTAACATAAAACCGGGCATAACAACACACGCCTGTAATCCCAACACCTGGAGATGGAGGCAGGAGGATCAGGGGTTCAAAGTCATCCTCAGCTACGTAGGGAATTGGAGGCCAGATTGAGATACATGAGACCCTGTAAAAATAATAATAATAAAATAAAAGCAGGGTGGTGACAGGTTTCTTGACACGCTCCTTTACCTCGTCTTGTTCCAGCAACTTCCATGTTCTGACCCCACCCTCATCTCTGAGGAATTGCCAATTTTTTTTCCTCTTCTCTGTTTTTTGGATGGAGAGAAGAGTGTTTTTGCTTTGTGTCATAAGGTCCATTAGTTGGTCATTTTTCTGGCAGGGTCCCATGAGGTAGTCGTATTTTGGTCACCCCCGTCTGAAGCTCTGTCTTCGTGTGTGCAGGTCAAGTGTCCCCATGAGGGAGTCGGATGGATGCATGAGGAGGAATACCAAACGCCAATGCATTCACTTGCTGTCAGGAGCAGAACGGCCACATGGGTCACATGGGTCAGGGACTCGTTTCAGTTGGGCAGCACATCCTCTAGTAGGGGACTTCACATGAGAACAAGCACATCACAGAAAGGGGTCTGCTGACCCCAGACTCGGGGGCCCAGGGACACACTCTTTTACCTCCTATTTTTTCATAACAACGTATTAGTTCACAGAATGCTCTCTTGGGAGAAGGGATTTGTCTCAAGCCCCAAACAGTGGACAGCAAAGTCAGAAAGGAACTCAGGTTGTCCGTCTCCAAAACCTGAGTCTTCAAGCCCCACTCACTGGACAGCACTGCCGTCCTTAGATGATGACCTCCACTGGCCCTTCCGGAGTGCCTCTCCTCGGATGCTTGTCCTCATCTAACCTTTCTCTCTGGAAAATCTCCCCATCTCCCTTTCACTTCGGGCTCCCTTTCTTCACAGTCCTTCTAACTTGTAATTATCCCCAAACCCACAGGCTAAGTAACAACCCCCAAACTCAGTCGCTTCAAACAGCAATCATTTCAGCATCTTTCTTGGCTCCAATAGGGCAGGCATTTGGGTAGAACTTGGGGAGGCAATGCTGGCTTGGATCTTTTCCTGGAACTGTAGACAGTCGGCGACTGGAAGTAAAACAGTGAAGGACTAAGGAAACCGTGGGCACAGCATAGGTTGCCTGTTGCCAAGCCAAGCTTGCCCCAACCCCCAGGGGGGGACTCTCTGTTGGCTCTACATGGGTTAGTTTGAGCTTCCTCACAACATGGTGGCCTTGGAGCAATCAGATTCTGTAGGTGGTAGTGAACTCCGCTCACCCGGTATCACTTTGGCCATACTCTTAGTTGGCCAAGAAAGTCACCAAAACCTGCTCAGTTTTAAGGAGAAGAGGCATAGATCCTGACACTCAGCAGGAAGATTGTCAAAGTAACATTATGAAGAGCATATGTGGATGGGAGTCACTATTTGCCTAACAGGCTTTGCTTCACAAAGCCTGAGGGTTCCAGTGCCTCCATCTTTGCCTCTCAGCATGAAGGTCAAGTTCTACTGGAGGGGACAAGGTGATGCCTTCCAGTGGATTAAATGAGCTAGGACCCCAGGGTTCGTAGGTGCCCTGGGTATAAGGTTTCTGGAGAGAGTGCAGGTGCCCTGTACCAAGGGGACATCTTGAAGCTTTCATTGTGGCCTCCCTTGTCCACTTCCCCTCTTCTTCCCACGGCTGACAAGGCTGACAGAAAATGCAACACATATATGAGTAGCTTCCCATGTAGAAAGAGAAGCTGTCTGTATATGCCACTAAAAGTTTGTTGTAGATCTTGTTTGATCAAAACACAAAATTTTGCCCGGTTTTTTGGTTTCTGTTTTGTGAACCAGTAGAGCCACAGCTAACCCATAAAGGACAGTTGTGGCCAAGACCCTGTCCAAAACAAAGACCCTGTCTTCGTTAGGGTTCCTATTGCTATGATAAAATGCCATGATGAAGAGCAACTTGGGGAGGAAAGGATTTGTTTGGCTCACACTTCCACATTGTAAACCATCACTGAAGGAAGTCAGGACAGGAACTCAAACAGGGAAGAGACCTGGAGGCGGGAGCTGATGCCTGGAGGGGTGCTGCTTACTGGCTTGCTCATCATGACTTGCTCAGCCTGGTTTCTTTTCTTTCTTTCTTTCTTTTTTTTTTTTTCCTTTGGAGGGGGAGCTATGGGTTCGAGACATCTGTGTATCCTTGGCTGTCCTGGAACTCTCTCTGTACACCAGGCTGGTCTCAGACTCACAGAGATTCTCCTGCCTCTACCCCTCCCGAGTGCTGGGATTAAAAGTATACCCCACCACCACCTGGCTATTAGCCTGCTTTCTTATAGGACCCAGAACCAGCAGCCCAGGGATGGCACCACCACCATGGGCTGGGCCCTCCCCATCAATCACCAATTAAGAAAATGCCTTACAGCTGGATCTCAAGGAGACTTTTTTTTTTCTATTGAGGGTCTCTCCCTTCTGGTGATCCTCGTTGTGTCCGGTTGACATAAAACTAGCCAGACCAGGTCACGTGGCTTGGCCTGTTGAACACTGAGTGGACTTTGACCTCCTTTGCCCTGTTGGTGGGGGGATTCCTGTGCAGCTGGACTTTACACAGCTACTCTCCATACCAATAGAAAACAAATAGACCCAACACGGAAGTAATCGGATTCATTTGGAAGGGAGGAGTGGCGGTGGGGATAAAAAGATCAGTCCACCCTACAGGATAGAAGCAAACGCTCTCCTTAATTCCTCCAGTTAAAATTACTCCAATCATTTTACATAATCACGGTGTTTATTTGTAACAATCTATTTTTAAAATCTTTATATAACGTTTCACGGTCAGCTTCCATGATGCCTTGTATGTAGTAGAAACTCAGTAAATTCTTCTTGAGTGAGTCAGTACAGTTATTTTGATTAGCCAGTCTTCCTGTGCTGGTGCCAAGGAACAGTGTCATCTTACAGCTGAAGTCACAGAGGAGAAATAACCTGAGCCACTTCAGGTGCCTGGGGGTTAGCAGTCCATACATAGCTTTGTCTGAACTCTCGATGGATTTCAGCAGCGTTAACGTTTTAAAAAAATTACATTCATTAATCTTTATGAGTGGGGGTGGGGGCAGGGCACGTGCATACCAAGGTGCATGCCATGGAGCAAGTCATGGAGCACATGTGGAAGCTGGTTTGGTCCTCTTTACCATCTAGATCAGTCTCAGGTTGTCAAGCTTGGTAGCAAGTGCCTTTACCCGGTGAATTGTCTTGCCGGCTCAACTTTCTTTGTCTGAGAAACTTCGATACAACACCTCCCCACACCTCCAGATTGTACCATGTAGTCCAGGCTTGCTCCTCTTGCCTCACTACTGGGGTGGTCTTGCAGGCCTCACTCCTACAGCCACAGTCTCATCTAGATTTTGCCCTGTCTGTGAGACTAGATCCCAAAGAGTCTACCAACTTCTACCCTCGGCCACTGTAAAGGTGTTAAAGACAAGGACAGAACTCTGTGCTGCTTCCATGAGGCTGTCTGTTCTTCGTTCTCTCTTTTCTCCTCCCTTTCTTTCTGTTTTTCTAAGACAGGCTTAGTCCAGGCTGCCTCAAACTTGCAACATCCTTAGGTATGTGTTACCGTGGCCCAATAAGGAATAAGGTTTGCACTCTCATTTTCTCTGACAGAGGGTCTCATGTAGCCTAGGCTAGACTCAAACTCAATATATAGCAGAGCTGAACTCCTAGTCTTCCTAAGACACTGTTCTTCTTTTCTAAAAAATTTATTTTTATTTTATGTGCATCGGTGTTTTGACATGGGTGTTGGGTCCCCAGGAACTGGAGTTACAGACAGTGTGAGCTGCCATGTAGGTGCTAGGAATTTGAATCCCCGCCCTCTGGAAGAGCAGTTAATGCTCTTAACCACTGAGCCATCTCTCCAGCCCATCACTGTTCTTCTTGAAAGCTATAACGACGAGGAGCTTGGCCAGACTCAGAAGGACAAATATTACATACTTTGTTTCATATGCAAAATCTAGATATAAACACAAATGTAAAGGATGTGGAACTAGAAGGGAGAGTACCAGGGAAAGGAAGAGCTCTAAGGGGGTGGGAAGAGAGGCGACATGAGAGGAAAATGGGGAGGACGGAAGACCAACAGTTCCATGTTTCTCTTGTAGGTAGAATCTAGATTTGTGAGCTACTTGAGATGGAACCGCAAGGGCTCTATCCTGGAGCTATCTGCCCAAGGAGAACATTTCATCAGTACACCCTCTCCCTTCCCCCCTACCCCGTGTGTTACTGGGGATCGGATGAAGGACCTCAAGCACACCAGGCAAGGGCTCTGCCCCTGAGCTCACACGC